AATTCAACCTCTTTTTTCTCGACTAGAACACATATTGATCCAATCACATATTTAACAGTGTGGAAGCCAGTTCGGTGTAGTGGTTAAGAGCCAAGTTACTGTAGCAATTAAGAGCACAAACTAATCTGGGAGAACCAGGTTTGATTCCCCACTCATAAGAACATAAGAGAAGCCAATGTTGGATCAGGTCAATGGCCCATCCAGTTCAACACTCTGTCACACAGTGATACCCCTTTTAAAGTTAAAAGTGGTTGTGTGAGTCTTTTTGGCCAATTCCCTATTTATACAAATGTTGAACTCAACAACATTATGATCACTGTTCCCAAGCGGTGCAATCACTTTTACATCTCTCACCAGGTCTTGAGTGTTACTTAGGACCAAATCAAGGATCAACTCTCCCCTGGTAGGTTCCATGACCATCTGCTCCACAGCACAGTCATTTAGAGTGTCTAGAAATTCAACCTCTTTTTTCTCGACTAGAACACATATTGATCCAATCACATATTTAACAGTGTGGAAGCCAGTTCGGTGTAGTGGTTAAGAGCCAAGTTACTGTAGCAATTAAGAGCACAAACTAATCTGGGAGAACCAGGTTTGATTCCCCACTCATAAGCGGGGTATAAATCCAATCTCCTTCTTGTAAATATATTTATTTATCTACTTGATTTATACTTTGCCTCTCCCCCCAGTGGGGGACCCAGAGTGGTGTACATAATTCTCTCCTCCATGTTATCCTCACGACAACCCTGTGAGGGAGGTCAGGCTGGGTGTCACTGGCCATCGGTCACCCGGTGTGCTTCTGTGTCAGAGTGGGCATTTGAACCTGGCTGTCCCAGATCCCAGTTGGACGGTCTTAATCACGATGCCACACTGACTGTGTACAGTACATTTGAAGTGCTTATGCGTTGATTTGGTATAAAGCTGCTTCATAGGTATAGTTTCTGAGCTTGTTCTTTTTTTAAAGTGAGTGCCAAGGGCTGGGAAGGGAATGTGACTCAGGGGTAGAGCATCAGCTTGGCATGTAGAAGGTCCCAGCTTCAATCCCCGGCATCTCCAGTGAAAGGAATCCTGCAATTGGGGATGTGGAAGATCTGTGTCTGAGGCCCTGGAGAGCCGCTACCAGTCTGTGCAGACAATACTGAACTTGGTGGACGTCATGTGTTCATGTGATCTTTCTCCTTCCAGGATGCCTATAACATGGCCGAGCTCCAGATGTCTCTACAAACCAGCCCAGCCTACTCCCTCTATAAGAAGAGAGGGAAGCGGACAGATCTGGACAGTCCCTTGGGCTGCGAGTTCTCCCTCAATCCAAAAGAGCCGCTGGAGGCTCCTGCGGCAGGGAAGGGAGACTCCTTCTCAAGCACAGACTTTGGGTGCTACTTACTGAGCGTTGTCAGAAATGTCGACCAGCAGCACCAGGCTCTCCCCTGTGATTCTCTGCAAGTATTTTACACTGAAGGGGAGTGTTCGGAGGCCAGCAGTTTGAGTTCCCTGGGGTCCTGTGGCTGGGATGAAGATGCAGTGTACGGGGATATGAAAGAGTGGGGGCCAAAGTTTGAAAAACTAAGTGAACTCTATTTGCATGCGGATCCTGATGATGTCTAGACTATGGAGTCTGTCTTGGCATAATGCCTAGAGTTTTTTTCTTTAATGTGACTCTTGATAAAGTTGTACATCCCGAGGTGTATGAGAGACAGAATGGCAGGAAACCACAGGTCACGTAAAGGGGTTAGGCCGTGGCAAGAACAGCCGCCGATGCAAAGTGAGAAGAAGGATGGAAGACCCTGAATGTCGTGGTGAGTTCTGGTTTGAAGAAAGGATGAGTGCAGAGTGGGATTTGGAATCAGCCTCACCATCATGGCAGGAAGACACTATAAAGTGACACTTTCCGTGTCGGTGGCCGGGAGGGATGCCTTTTCCGCAGACGTTTTTCTGTGCACGTATTTGGAAGGAGGGAAGTGGCAGCACTGGCCTACCTGCACACAGCTCAGATCTCGCAGGAACTCCGTGACCCGGCCCTGCGTCTCTTGCACAGTTCCTGCCATCTTGTCCGACGTGTTGTCAGTCTGCATTCTGTTTTTATCACTAAATGTACAGCTGAAACAAATTTTCCTTTTGAACCTGACCCCACGACCTTGCCAGTGTCAGAACTTGGACTTGGCAGGCTTTCAGTGCTCTTTTCAAAAGAAACCTGCCTTTATTTGTTGGGTTAGAATTCCCGTGGGTCCTTCACCAAGCTTTGAAAAAGTCGGAGCTTGCATTTGGTCACAAAATTTTGAGATCAGCCGTCTTGCAACTCTCCCAAGGAAGCAGGTTCGCCCTTGAAATGGTCTACTCCAGCAACTGCTCCAAAGAGTTCCTTATTTTGGAAACAACTCAAGGAAAAACAAGACCCCAAACAATCTTGATTGGCAGGGGATATTAGCATACTTGGCAGATCCAGCAGTGCTGAACACAAAGCATTGTAAAATATAATGGTTTTGAATTCCTTCTGTTGTTTCAAACTCTCTACTCCTGACTATTCCATGCAAGTAAGCAATTCTCTGCTATTTCAATATATTACACCCCCCCCCCCGAATACTCATGGACTGACTGGCACCTTTGAATGGTATGAGCTAAAGTTGGAAAAAGATGCAACGTAAGGAATAGGATCTAAAAAGTGTCTTGTTTACAACGTGAATATCAGGAGTCCAGAATGAAGACTGACAAGATATCACAGTACATAATCCTGATAGCGTTTGGTACAACTTCTACAGAACTAGGAATTTTTAATCCCTTTGACAGTGAAATAAGGAGGGGTGCTTTGGTTCAGAGCAATAATGGGTATGTTATTATGTACTCTTCACGGACCTGTGTTTTTAAAATTGCCTTTCTTAGACTAACTCAAATTTTGGTTTGCCTAACCACTAATATCTTAAGTGAAAAAGGTGCTATGTGGTGAATTTTATTTTAGGCCTCCTATTCTACTTAATCGTTTTCTGGATAAATGCTGTGCAGTGGAATAGAAGGCACTGATCCTCCTGCCCAACTTGTCTTAAAAAAAGATATATCTAGTTATTCATGTTCCTTAGATTATTCATATTTTTTTAAGCAAATGAAGCAGAGAGACATATGAGAAAAGTCAGGGAAATGGGGGTCTGGAAGATCAGCTGTGGACAGGGAAGGAATGAAGGAGGTTACTGAGATGTGGATAAGACAGAGGGCCCTTTCACACACACACTGAATAATGCCCTTTCAACACACTTGAGTCTGAAATTTACAAACACGTGGGTTTATGTTAATTTGGGGCTATGCAGTCACAGCTAAGGTAGAAAAGCACCTCCTCCTATGCCATGTTTTCTGGGTTCCAAGGGTCTGGAAAGCGGTTCCATAGCCAGTTACACGGTTGCCAACTCTGGGTTGGGAAATACCTGTAGATTTGAGGGGTGGAGCCTGGGGAGGGCAGGGTTTGGGGTGGGGAGGGACCTCAGCAGGGTATAATGCCATAGAGTCCACTGCCCAAAGTAGCCATTGTCTCCAGGAGAACTGATCTTGGTCATCTGAAGATCAGTTGTAATAGCTGGGAAATTTTCTGTAGGGGAAAAGATTTGCTGTGGCTGGAGAACACGGTGATTTCTGGGTGATCTCCAGGCCACGTTCAGTGACTCCCAATAGCAACAGCAAACTGTTTAGAATGTTAGAGGCAAAGGCCAATGGGGCCGCATATGCAAATAACCTCTGTGTTCCGACTGGCTATGGGAGGAGAGGAACAGCAAACTGTTTAGAATGTTGGAGGCGGGACTCAGGCAATGCAGCCAGTGGATAGGGACAGCTTCTGAGTGACACATCACCGAGCGTATTGATTTGGGAGCATGTGGAATGTTCAGCAACGTGCCACCAACAACCGAGAATTATTATAGAGAGAGATGACCGTTATAAAGTGAGTCTAAAATTTACAAACACGTGGGGTGAATCTTCACATTTTGCTTACAAAGAACCCTAAAAATTGAGTATGCCCTATAAAGTTTGAAGTTTTTGTATTTTTATAATGGGAGTTCTGTTTTGCAACATCATTGAGCTCCGTGGCTAGTGCAGAACTGTTATGACCGGGCTCAGTGGAGAGGTACTTGCGACATTTAGCTGTTTGTCAGAGTGTCAAATATATATGCATTTTTGTGGAGGGTGAGCCCTCACTGGATAACTGCTCATCAGGATATCATGAACATCCCCACAGGAAACTTTGGCACAGCTTTACATGGTTTGCCTACCTGTGAAGCTCATAGGTACTGAATATTCATGAATGTTTTTAATTTATGCAGGCAATAAGCTAGCCCAAATTTAATCCACTTCCAGGAACCCAAAAGCAAAATTGATTTTAACTGTGGACCAAGACGGCTGTGTTGTGCTGCCAACCTTTCCGTGTTCTGTGAGCGTGACAAACAAGCGGCAGGAATTGACTGCTGTTATGATCCCCCAAAGCTCCTGCCCTTTGAAATGCATTGGGGGGGGGTGTTACTCAGATGTTAATTTATGGCTCTGGACCAAAATCCCATCCGCCATTATTTTGGTTGCATTTTCAAACCCATCGAGAGTGCATTCCTTCTTGCTTGTAACTTTCCTTTTGCCCCCTTTGTGTCCTGTACAGAATAAAATGCTGTTCTCAAAATATAGCCCTGCCTCTTTTCACCTGGCCCGCATTCTGTCGCTGCAGAGAGATGGAGGTTTGAATTGGTCTCTGCAGAGATGAGCTGCCTCACTGGCTCGTGGGGAACAGGGAGAGGGGCGAACCAGCCCCCTGCACAAGGCCCAGGGCACGCTGGGAAGCTGCTGCGACCCTTGGGACAAAGAGCCTCTCAGCAGGCCACAGTGAGATGGCTCAGTGGCAGAGCGTCTGCGTGGAGGAGATTGCAAGTTCAATCCCTGGCATCTCCACTTAGATCTCGGCGATAACAAGAAAGAACGGTATCGGCTTGAGTCAACAGAGAGCTTGACAGTGCTCAGGGAGCAAGCCTAATCAGAAGAACGCAGAAGTAAGTTCCATTTTCTTCAGTGGGGAATTACTTCCAAGAAAACATCCTTCTGTTTGCAGCCTAAGCTAGATAGGCCAATGGTCTGACTTTCAAACACTCAACTGGGTTTATAAGAAAGGGCTACAGCTCAGTCACAGAGCCCCTGCTTTGCATGCCAAGAGTTCCAAGTTCAGTCCCCAGCATTTCCACTTAAAGGATCTCAAGTAGCAGGTGACAGGAAATATATTTTTTTTACTGGGGGACAAAGAAGTTCTTGCTGTTAGCCCACTAGCTATGCCTAAGACAATCGGGAACCCTTAATGTACAAACATAGCCACAAACAAGACCCACCAAGGGAAGACCACCTACAGTTCACAACTATATATGCTTAAAACTGTATATTGCATTCACTGAAATGCAAAGAAGGGTTAGTGGTCATAACCCAATAGAGTGTATAGACACTTATCCAACAGATTGCTCATAACAATTAAGCATAGTTTAAACAAAGAAGAACATATTCAAAGCCAACCGTAGGCTCCTTTGTAATTCCATACATAAATAGTGTCCATAGACCTCCAAACAGAAAGTAACTGCAGCAGAAGCCTCCCACTGTGGAAAGAATAACAGCTGGATGCCTCTCCCAGGTATAAATCAAGACGTTTCAATGATCTTCAACAGCGGCTGGCAAAACCCGATTTCCAAAATAACATAGGCACAGCTCAAAAGCGTCAGTGGAATCCTAGGGTTCTCTCAATGAGCTTCAACAGCAGATGGCAAAGCAGAACCCAATATCCAAAATAACTAAGGTCCAATCTGCATTTGCATTTTTAAATTAGTTTCATGCTGCTGTGACGCCGTCTTTCTCTATGCTTGTTTGAATGTTGTTTGGAGAAGATTCTTTTAAAGCAGTGCAGAGGTGCAATGACAGTGGAGCCGCCCCAAAAGGACGATAAACATATGTGAACATGCAAAAGTATGCTAGCACTCTTGAGGTGTTTGAAGACGGAGTCAAAAGGCTGGGACACCGGTGGGAAAGACAAATGCAGATTCAGCCATAGGCACAGCTCAATAGCTGCTGTTGAAGATCATTGAAACGTCTTGATTTATACCTGGGAGCATCCGGCTGTTATTCTTTCCACAGTGGACGTCTTCTGCTGCAGTTACTTTCTGTTTGGAGGTCTATGGACACTATTTATGTATGGAATTACAGAGGAGCCTACTGTTGGCTTTGAATATGTTGTTCTTTGTTTAAACTATGCTTAATTGTTATGAGCAATCTGTTGGATAAGTGTCTATACACTCTTTTGGGTTAAGCCCACTAACCCTTCTTTGTATTTCAATGAATGCAATATACAGTTTTGAGCATACATAGTTGTGAATTGTAGATGGTCTTCCCTTGGTGGGTGTTGTTAGCCCAGTAGCACCAGCTGAATGCCATCTTGGCTAAGTTTTGTCTCTTCCTTGCGGGTGCTTAAAGCTGGCTGGGGCCAAAACCACGAGTCGAAGGGCTTTTATCCTAGGGCCTCCGTTAGGTAGCCTTGTCAGCTAGGACCAGGCTGGGTCTGTTTCTGTTGTTGCTTTAGGGTGGAAAGGCAGGCTGTGAATACTTCAAATAAA